TGCGGGAGGGCCGTCCCCCTGGCGTGGGGCTCCGCCGGGGCGTCGGCCACGTATTCGGCGGGGGATCCCCGCGAGGACAATGGCGACACCGTCCTATAGGCCCTGCAGATTCTAAGGGCCAGCCGCCGTTGCACGCTGTGCAACCTCTCCTGTATACGGCGGCAGAAGTAGCACCTCACTACGTCGATGGGTCCCCATTCTACCAGCGTGAACCCCTCCCCCGCCGATATGGGAATCATCGGCGGGGTGTCGCGCGCGTGCTGGCTGTCCACCGCTATCCGGCCCAGAGAGTCCCCCGCCCAATTGGGGTGACTTTCCGGGATTCGGTAGGGGTCTGCGGCGATGGCCAGCCCTCCCCCCCACTCGGCGAGGCACTGCATCAGGATGCTTTGCACGACGGCCATTTCAACGTCAGCCACTATTACGGCTGACGTTGCCTCCGCGGAGGTCGTCGCCGCCGCGGGGGGCTGCCCCGCGACGGCAGTGGGGGGGGCCACTGGGCTTCTGCCCCCCCTTCCTTCCCCTGGCTTTACCGGCAGCGCATCCGGCACCGCCGATGCCCCGAGGGGCGGCCGAGTGCACGGCATGCGGGGCAATCGGCCTTGCCGCGGCAGTCACGCGCCACGTGGCCGATGCCCCCACATCGATAGCACAGTCCGGAACGGTCCACGGTGCTTAGACACTTCTGCTGGACATGTCCAGCCTCCAAGCACCGGTAACATTGCATGTTCCGGGCCGGCAAGAGAGTTACCCTGCAGCTCGACCATCCCACTCTTATTTTAGAGGCGGCCACCAGTTGCTTGGCCGCCTCTATGGGGCACCGCATCCAGCAAGTGCCCAAACTATTGGGGGCCCTGTTGACAGCTCCCACCTTGAACTCCGGTGGGAGCCGCTCACAGGGCCAACTCCTTGGCAACCCCTATGGGGGTTGCCGAGTCGTCGAGCCCGGAGACCCGCACCTCAGCAGTCTTCGACGGACGGGAGACTTTGACATCATCTCGTTCCGCAAAGACGGCCGACAGCTTCTCCGCAAGCTTTGGCGCGGCACTCCTGGCCCCGGACCTCCCAAATCAGGGTCCCCGTTATGGCCCTCCTGGGTCGGAGATCCTCGATCCCCACATCTTTGAGGGAAATCGAGGATCTTGCCTTCCCCACCACCTCTTGATAGTTGGTGGGGTCAGCGCACGTGATCACTATGGCCGCCGAGCTTAGCGACCTCAGCTTAGGAAGGGGAGCCTTTTTGCCGGAAGCTTGAGGCCTCGCGGCACTACTCCCCTTCCTGACCGTCCCGCCCGCTTTCCCACCGCTCCCCTTTTTGTTGGAAGCGTGGGTCACGGGCGCGTTGGCGCTCTTCGCGCTCTTGGGCGCCGGCCGTGGCGGTGCCGACTCGGTCTTCGCCGCCTTGGCGGCCGCCTTTTTCGCGGCCCTTGAGACGACCTGCGCCCAGGTCGCCTCATTCGCGTCCGCCATGCGCCCTCCGTCCCCAGATGTTGGGGGGATCGAAGGAGGAGGCGAGTCCCTCCTCGCGGTGGGGGTGGACACGCCAGGCGCGTTGCCACCGGCCTTAGGAGGGATCTTCGCCTTCTTTGCGGAGGGCTGGCCGCCTTGTACGACAGGGGGCTGTCCGCCCTGCTTGGCGGGTGGTCCCTTTGGTGACGGCGCCGTCGCCGGGACCACCCCCATTCCCCTCAGGAGGCGGAGGAAGAGCCTTTCGAGGACCCTTTCGATACGGCCGTTCTCGTCGTCCCTTCCGTCGGACTTCCCCTTCTTTTTAGAAGGGGATCTCTTCCCGGCCCCCTGGCGACCCTGTCCGCGACGGTCGCCAGGGGGTTGAGTTGTTTTGACACCCCCTGGAGAGGAAGCCTGAAGTATGGGGGTCCTCCTCCGTGACCGTCACGCGCGGTCGCGGCTCCTCCCCCTCCGTGGGAACAGTTCTTCCCCTCGTCCTAATTGGGCTGCGAGCGCCGGCCAGGCTACCGGGACCCGACCACACCATGGTCGAGTCCCATTCCATTCTCCGGCGCCCTGTCCCTGCCGGACGTGCAGCGGGAGGTGGACTTCCCCCTGTCGTGCTCCAGGACCGCCACCCTTGAGCGGAGGAGTACCAGCTCTTGATTGAGCTGACGTTTCTCCTCCGCCCAGGCCCTGGAGCTGTCATCAAGCCGGTCGTCATCGGCCGGCATGTCGGCATTGCCCGACTTCGCCATCATGGAGCTCAGGGCTGCGGACAGCTTCGAGAAAGCTGCCCACAAGTCCCTGACGATGTCTCCTTTGATGTTACGACTCTTCTCGACAGCCTTCGCGATGGTTGCCAATTTGCGGGTTACTACCGCGGTAACCGATCGCAAAGGCTGTTGATTGAACTCGATGGCGAGGTCGATAGCCCTGTCTTTAGCCTTTCTCGCGGACGCTGAGGAGGGCTCCACATCCGGGTCTATTATGGCCCGGTGGTCCCTCCTCAGCTGCTTGGCTTTTGCCTTCTCAGCCTTTTTTTGCCCTAACCTCCGCCGTGTATTGGCCGGCGTGCTCGGGGTTTACAGCCGGCCTACTCCGTGACCGTTTTGTGGACTCCCCCTCGGAATCCGAGGAGGAGACCACAAATTCAGCCATTCGTTTCCGGCTCTCTCCTCCCAGGGACCCTAGCGAAGCTGGATTCGGCCCTCGACAAGGTACCCTCGGAGGCGGCAGCCTCGGCGCGCGATCCGGCCTTGCTACATGCAGGGCCAGGACGCGATTTTCGGGGGTTTTTCCCCTCCGAATCGCCCTTGGTTGGGCGAGCCTCCCGCTCCGCGCTCGTTGCCGAGCGTGTCATCCGCGTTTGTTGAATTGAGTAAAGTATCCATTAAATTGATGCCCACGCCCCGCAGCGGCTCCGCCAACTAGGTACCCTCACCCCTCCCCCGGAAAACCAGGAGAGGGGGCCCCGAGTTCCCCCGGGGAGCTGGCATATGGCACGGGTCCCCGGCATGTTACATCGGGGACACTGGCCTCCAGCCCCTTATTCCCCGTGAGTGGATGTGGTGCAAGTCCACTCATGAGTTTCGGGGGTCCCTCGCCTCCGACCTCGAGGACACCGCTGCGGGTGGCGCCACCCGGGGCGGCACCACGGACGGTTCGGGTCACGGAAGCGGCGCCCCTTCCGGACCTTAGCCGCCGTGGCGACCAGCGTGTTTGCGCCGCCCGGTGTCCCGCTTCGGAAGGGACGCCGTCGCGGAGACACCGGGCACAATACTCGACGCCCCCTCCGGTCCCGACCTTGGAATACGTCCGAGCGGCCCGGAGGGGGCGGGAGTCGCGCGCCCTGCCTCGGAATACGTCCGCGCGACCCCCCCACCGGGAGAGACGGGTGATTCCGCGACGGACCGAAGTCCGCGCGGCCCCGTCCTCCCCTACGAACTAGGTCCGCACCTCACGAGGCGGGAGAGAGGGACCCCTGGTGCAATGAGCCGAAGCTCTCAGGGACCCTCTCCACCCCTCAGTGGCATGGGCCAGCCCACAGCCAGGAGCACTCAGCATACGGGCCGACCCGCCTTGCGGGAGCACCCGCTCGACCCAATCCACTCCCGGGGCCCGAGGAGACCACCCAACCCCCGGAGGGGAGGGGAGGAAATCACGGAACCTCGGGTGCGGTGGGGGGTCGAAACCGTCACCCGCACGGGCAGGGAGCAAACCTCCCCCTGACGGTGCCGTGCCACCGGGCGATTGAAGTCAGGGCCGCCAACTCCTACCGGCACACTGGGGACCCGTCTCAAAGGGACGAGACCCCCAGGAGTCTCTCCCATGAGGAGAGGAGACCCCCTTGGAGTGCCGGACCCGGTTGTACAGACTCCCCCCCCGTAAGAGAGGAGTCCGTACATGCTGCACTTAGACCCCCACGTGCCGGAAGCGACACGTGGGGGAGCCCCCTCACCACGACAAGGTGGCAGTCCGCGAGGGAGACATTACAGCCCACTGAAGAAGTAGATGTCAATTACATTATCCACTGTTTTGCGTTGCTCTTGATGGAAATATATCGTTTAAAATTTCCCTTAATTTGATAGATTTTTATTATTTTTCAGCGATTTTTTTCTATCAGTATCACCGCAAAAAGGGGATATTGTTGCGCCCCTCCCTCCCCTTTCTTAATATTTCTCAGTGTGGCACCTCAATATTTTTCGCAAATCACCGTTTATGATAAGAATAATAGAATAATATAATGTTTGTTGTCAACCAATATATATCCAATTGATAGATGATTTATAGACAATAAATGAGTAATAAATGGCCCATTATTAGGCTTCCGACTCATTAAATAAAATTTAATTCCTTTTTTTTTTCAGGATATTGTATTGACGTTACTATGCGCCATTTGTGTATTAGGAGATCGACGTTATATCGCTATTCCTGTCGATGATGTTGATGATATCGACATCATCAAGGTGAATGCAATCACACCTTCGTTATCAAGGATAGCAAAACAAACAAAAGCGTATGTATCTAGCGTTTCTCATCAAGATGATTCCGTGATACAGCGTTCTGAGCGATTAGCAACGCATGTCCTGGATTATGTTGATTTCGGAGGATATACCGGATCCAATGGAGCTTTCAGTTGGTATGCTGATTATCCGGCTCATCGTTCGTAATTTTCTGTAATAATAACTTACTGAAACAAATTGAAGAGAACATCATTGTGTAGTATATAATATTAGAAATTATGTATATATAGAATAAAGTCTAGAAATTTTTTAATAAAAGTTGTGACATAAGAAAGTCGCATTTTTATTGGTTTATGTTTTAAAAATTCCCGCCTATATTTGAATATCTGTATTCGTATACTCTTACGTTTCAACAATATAATTAAAATTAATTTAAATACATTAACAAATAGATTTCTTACATTACATGTCAAGAAACGCATGCGAGAAAAATTGTTTAGTTTAATCTTTTTTTTTTTAAATAAAATTATAATATTTTAAAAATTTAAAGATTTGATTATATACTTTAAAACGAGAATCAAAAGATACAAAAGCAGGCTCATTAGAATATTTATAATTTCATTAGTCAGCACCTAATTAATTAGTTTCATAATTTTCATTTTTTAATTTGATAAAATCATATTTATAGCTAATTACTTTGATCTTGATATGTTACCAAGGTTATAATTCTGAATGATATTAAAAGATTTTAATATTAACAATTTAAATATCTTTAAATTGCTAATTTAATATTTGAGGTATGCACATGATATTAGACTATTTTCCTTTTATGAGACAAAATCACACTTGACACAGTCTGACTCTCCTCCCTAGCAGAAGTGAAGTGTGTCAATTAAACTTAAACAAAATTCATCATAAAAACGAACGTGGTTTATAATTCAAAACGTATGAAAAAAAAGTATGATAAAAAAAACTACTGTACAAGTTATAGTTTGTGATATTTAATTATCATTACATCAATTAAAATATTAGACGTTTCGGCCACAATCTGGCCATCCTCAGTAAATTCACTTCTCAATATTCTTAAAACACAGAGTTACCTATAGCTTACCTATAGACATCCAACCGTCGTATGATATATTATAATTATATATAAATGTGTTCTTTCATATGTGAAGGTGCCTCGTACAATAATGTACATCGCCAATTGTCATATGTTACCTGTTTTACAGCAAAAAAATATAATGATGAATCTCAAGTACATCCTTTGCACAGATGGAAATTTGTCGTGACATTGTGTGTTATTATTTGTCATATCATATATTTTACCACTATTTATATCAAATTTATGTCAAAAGTTTAGAAAGTTCTAGAATTATTATTAAGTGTGAGAGAGATCTTTCTTAAGAAGAGGCAGATAAACATCAGGCAAACCTTCAGTGTCACTTTGCTTATTGATACCACTTATTTGGCCTTTAATGTATATCATTTCAAAAATTCTTCTTTTCATTAATGATTGTTCTATGTCTAAAATTCTTATGTTATCCCAATCCAATTCATGCATCTCATTCAACTGGTGACGTGAAACCACTGACATCTCGGAAGTGGTGTCCCCTATATTAGCGAACATAGTTCTACAAGACTTAGAACAAGAAATTATTACTGCTAATAATATTATCTCGTCTTTTTATTTCCGTTATGTGGATGACATTATGTTAGCGGTGCATAAAGACAAAGTTGAGGAAGTTCTGGAATTGTTTAACTCATATCATGAATGGGTTAGATTCACTGTTGACTTTGGCGATGAAAACGGCATAAATTTTTTAGACGTAAAATTAATGAGACAAGAATTTACAAAAAACCTACTAATTCTGGGAGATATTTAAATTATTTTTTGAATCATCCGTTAGTACATAAAAGGGGCGTAATCATCGGGCAATTAGATAGAATTTTGCTTTTATCCCATCCAAAATTTCATGAAAAAAACATCTCTGATTTCACACTTTTTAATGAATGGTTATCCTCTTAAATTCATATTTTCAACAATAAAAAATAGAATAAAAATCTTGGCAAGTAGAACTAATTTAGATCAAAATCGTGAGGACAATAATAACGAATGTGACTCTAATTCTATTATAATTCAAAGAAAAAGTTTTTCACGATACCATATTTAAGCAAAGTATCTGAAAAAATTTAAAAAACTTTCACATATACATGGCTTATAAACCCATGAATAAAATGAATACATTTATAAAAACTGGAAAAGATCCTTTGCTTAAGGATGACCATCGTGGAGTAGTCTACAAAATAAATTGTTTAAATTGTGAATCTTCTTATGTTGGCCAAACAAACAAAAAGGAAATTAAAAATAAAAGAACATAAGGCTGACATAAAAAAATCCACTTCCGAGATGTCAGTGGTTTCACGTCACCAGTTGAATGAGATGCATGCATTGGATTGGGATAACATAAGAATTTTAGACACAGAACAATCAATAATGAAAAGAAGAATTTCTGAAATGATATACATTAAAGGCCAAATAAGTGGTATCAATAAGCAAAATGAAGCACTGAAGGTTTGCCTGATGTTTATTTGCCTCTTCTTAAGAAAGATCTCTCACACACTTAATAATAATTCTAGAACTTTCTAAACTTTTGACTCATATAAATAGTGATAAAATATATGATATGACAAATAATAACACAATGTCACGACAAATTTCCATCTGTGCAAAGGATGTATACTTGAGATTCATCATTATATTTTTTTGCTGTAAAACAGGTAACGATTCTATTCTTACACATTTCGATTAGAAGATATTAATGATACGCAAATTTGTTAAATTAGAATTTGGAAATTCTCGTTCTACACTTTTCGTGATATGACAATTGGCGGTGTAACATTATTGTACGAGGCACCTTCACATATGAAAGAACATGTTTATATATAATTATATCATACGATTGAATTTAATGTCAGCTATAGGTAACTCTACGTTTTAAGAATATTGTGAATTTACTGAGGATGGCCAGATTGTGGCCGAAACGTATAATGTGTACTAATAATGTTTTAATTAAAGTAATGATAATTAAATATCACAAACTATAACTTGTGCGGTGGTTTTTTTATGCTCTTTTTTTCATATGTTTTAAACAAAATTATAAATGGAAAACGATGTGTGTCGATTTGTGTCAAATATGTCAATTGCGTCTCCTAAAAGGAAAATAGCTTTAGTATATTTATTACATATATATAAGAGTGAAAAAAGATTTATAATAATTATACAATATTTTTAATGAAACATATTTTATTAATTTTTTAATAATAAATTTATGCAAATATTATTTAACTTCGCAGAGCAAAGAATTTGTTGTTGCAGGTGTCCAGTTTTTCATACCATTTCCCCAATATTTTTTGCTAACATTTTTCGCCTATAAAGCACGACGGTCGACATTTTGAGGAAATGTGAGCCAAAGGCTACATAATGAAAGCATTTGTGAATTAGTGCAAAATGGGACTGCACACTTAATTATTTTTAATAAATAATTATCAGTATAGTTGAGTATCAGTAACATCGTATGTACGCGTGTTGCCGTCAGCGCAGGTTTAGGTAATTAGGTTAAAGATGCGTCACATTAGATAGAGATACAATATATTGCTCTCTCTGTTCTCAATTTTCTTAAAATTATTACCCTGCATACAAAAGTCGGCTTGTGTTGGCTCGCGTTGCAATTCTTATAGGGTTTCTAGTAAAGTCGTCTATGAGAAACCTTTTTTTTAAAAGCTTGTAATTTATTTAATTTATAAACTTAACTCCTATTTTAATATCAAATTTATAGGAAATATATTCAAGTTTTATCTGTTGAGTTCTTACTAATTTATAATAATATCATAATCATTTAATAATCCTTTATCTTTCTTCTGTACGTAAATACTCACTGTCAGTAACAAAAAACATTAGCTAGTAGTTAGCATACTTACCCTATTACATTCCCAGATAACAACGTTCCTTGGCATAAGAAAAAAAATAGGCACTTAGCACAAGTTTTTCTTCAATTGCCATCATGTTGCTGTCACCAGGGCAATAATAATTTCATTTGGGTCAACCTAGAGGCATTATGCGGACAATGGTTGTTTGCGCAGACGATGCTGTAACAAACTTATTCCCCTAATGTTGTTACAATCTGTTGGAAATTTTTGTAAAATATTTAGTCTACATTTTTGTCATCGAATGAAAATGGAGTGTCGTCGAGCAGTACCGCCAGAGAGATGCATCCAGTTAAATTTCTCGATTTTAAAAACTAATACAAAGATGTATAGGGCACATAAGAGTCAACGTAATTAAGTATAAATGTAAGAACTATAATATGATATTAAATGAATAAAAAAATTCTATAAATAACATTATAAAATACATTACATTACATGTTTCGGCTCTTGGATTGAGCCATCTTCAGATAATACAAAATTCACAATCTTAAAATTTATTTTATTGTCATAGAAAAATCATGATGAAAAATTTCCAATATATATAGCGGATTATATTTATATATTATTATATATTATAGGGTAAATTTAATAATTTATTATTTATATTAAAGTATGAAAATTTTTTTGTGTTTAAATTTAATTAATATAAAATAAAATAATTAATTAATAATGATTGAGGTATAATAATAAATAACTTTATTACTATCTATAAATGATTAATGCCTTGATACAGGCTTGAATTACTTGCAAGTGATTTACTGACTGATTTTTCGGAATTTTATGATATTCTAATTAAAAAAATATATTTGTTAACCAAAAATAAAAATAAAAAATGAAATTAAAATCTGAATAAAATAAAAATCTTTTAAAATGTTATCTACTTTTAAATTCTGTCAAAATTAAGCAAAAACATCATCTCAATAAAACACTCAGCAACGTGATCACAGTTATTATTTCTTAAGAAGAAATACGTCAAATTCATTATAAAATCGTATAAAATATAAGAGATAGTACATCAGATAGTAATAATACAATGTAATACATAGTCACTATATTAAAGTTCGAGATAAATTGTACAGATCGAATCTTCCAGAAAGAATTTTTTTTTTTGAAAGATATATTATAACGGTAAGGCTGACTGTCACTATCTGAGAGGCAATTACTAGATTAACAAAATGACTAGAAAAGAACAATGTCAAATTTTGTTTATAATCGATATATACGCTTTGTGAAGGCCCTCCGTATCTGTTTGGAGATTAAGACTTTTTTTGCTTTTTAATATTTA